TGCGGCTCACCTTCTCTGCCCTAGGAGCTTGGGATAGCAGCAGGGGAGCTTCCTTCCGGGTTCTGGGACTGGCTTAGCTTCTCTGCCCTAGAAGCCTGGGATGGAGGTGGGGCCCTTCCTTCCCAGTGCTGGGACCAGCTGAGCTTCTCTGCCCTAGGAGCCTGGGACAGAGGCGGGGAGCTTCCTTCTGGGTGCTGGGACTGGCTGAGCCATTCTGCCCTAGGATCCTGGGATGGAGTCAGGGAGCTTCCTTCTGGGTGCTGGGAGTGGCTCACCTTCTCTGCCCTAGGAGCCTCGGATGGAGGCGGGGAGCTTCTTTCAGGGTGCTGGGACCAGCTGAGCTTCTCTGCCCTAGGAGCGGTTTATAGAGGTTTCAGTCCATAATCGGCTGGCTCCAAGGTAGGGTGGCATAGCAGAGGGGCCTGACAGGGGAGAAAGAGTTCACAGTGGCACGGTAGGTAGGAAACCGGCTTAAGATTTTAATACAGAACAAGGGCTGCTTCCTCATCCCATCATTAGTTAAAATTGTAAAACTGTGGCATTAAATGAAAAGTATAATTCTTATATTGGTTAACTGCTTGTTTCCAATTACTTTTTTAAACAAAATTTTCACTGACAACAAAATATGCACAAGGCTTAAAGTAAACTCTGTCTCTCAGTAACAAGAAAGTCAAGACTATGCACTGGAGTGACACACAGGACACTGTAGGCAATTTCCCTATAAAAGCCAGGTTCTCCCTTTTCCAGGATACACTGAGCACATCTGGAAGATAATTAAATTTTTTTGATTCATACTAAGATATCCCTCCCTCTTTCACAAAACTGTCCCAATACTATACATTGTTTTCTTTTCTTTTCTATTTTTTCCAATTTTTATATTTTAGTAGTACATGTTTATAGTAATGATTATATTCCTTGTGTGGAATTGGTACACATACATTACACATCTTAATTCTTTTTTCATCCTTTCCCCCTTCCTCTCCACCTCTCCATCTCCTGGTCCCCTTATTTCCAAAAGATCTATCTCTCTGTTTCCTGTGATTTATCTTTTATTTTGCTCTTTATTTATATTTTGGGCTTCTCATATAAGAGAAGTCATGTGATATTCAAGCTTGAGTTTCTGATTTATTTCACTAAACATTGTGGTCCAAGGTGCATCCATTCTCCTATAAATGAATCATGTTCATTCTTATTTATGGCAGAGTAGTACATTAAATCCCTGACTTACAAACATTGAGAACTTTCACAAATACAGACAGACCTTGCATCATGAACATTCTTGGATGTGAACAAATCTCAGAATTATCTTACATGTCTACAGACATTGTCACAGTTATGCTGCTGTATGCTTACTGTAGTGTGATAGTGTACAGTAGCACAGTACAGTCAGGGACTTCCTGTATTTTTTGTATGTGTTTGCTTTTTATGCTTTACATTGTATATCTGTGTCAAAGGTGTGTAAGACTCACTTTGTTGGACTTACAAACAAATCCAACTTATGAATATTCTCCCAAAAAGGAACTCATTCATAAGTCAGGGACTTACTGTACTCCATTATGTATAAATATCACATTTTCTTTATCCATTCATCTGTTGATGAACATAAAAGTTGCTTCCAAGATTTAGGTATTATGAATTGTGCTGCTATAAACATAGGTATATATGTATTGTTAGGTACTTCAGAGCCCCCACAGAGCAAGCCCCCTCCTCTCCTTTCCTCTTGCCCCACTCCAGCCACAGGGAATAGGGAACTTCCGCATAACTAAGGCACAACCTCCCTTTGTTAGTGACTCTCTGCCTAGTTAAGGTCTTTCTGCCCCACTGGTTTCGTAGTCAGATGTTCTAGTAAGATAGGGGCTTCCCAAAAATGATTACTCCTTTCCCTTGACTGAAACCTGTTGCTACATACCCCAGCCCCAATTACCCACCCCACCAATGGACTAGTGCTCTCCCACCTGCAAGACCCCATATGAGCCTCCAGTTCAGCCCATTCTGTGGCTGATCTCCCTCCTGTGAGTCAGTCCCGGCAGGCTGCAGACTGCCGCCCCTAATAAAGGTTTGCTGCTTGAACGCCCGTGTGTGCCCCCTTCTTCGGCAACCCTTTCATGTATAACTGCAATTGATGTCCTTAACACTGTCAGGAAGACACCTAGAAGGGCAAAAGCTGGGTTGAATGGAATTTCTATTTTTAGTTTTTTGAGGAATCTCCATATTGATTTCCATAGTGGTTGTACTAGTATGCTCTTTATTTTTCATTCCAAGGTATAAATTAAGCATTATTCTCAGCAATTGACTATAAATATAAATTTTCTTTGCAAGACATTTGACTTCTCAACACAATATTGGCCAAATAAATCTATCTTCAGAAGTAAAGTCCTTTATGTGTCTACAGAGGCTGACAAATATATGAATGTGCATGTGTGTTTTGTGTGTGTGCAAACTCCAATAGTTAATTCATTTGCACCAAAATTAACATATCTTCTCCATACCATTTAAACTGTATATCCAAATTTAACATAGGTATGAATATATACTTAATATGTTATATATTAATATTGTATGTTTAATATATCAAGTATATATACTTAATATACTTACTATATAATTAATGAATATATACTTTAACATAGGTATAATATATACTTAATACGGAATATATATTTAAGTATATACTTAATATTAAGTATGAATATATACTTAGTACTTAATAATGAATATATACTTAATATATTCAATATGTACTTAATACAAGTCTTAATTATAAGGCTTGTCTAAATTTAAAAACATAAAATTTCCACAAATTTCTTATTTTTTAATTTTCAACTTCTGAGCTTACAGAAATTCTTCTAATATAAACATGAATCTACAGAAGTGTTCTTAAAGCAAGAAAATGCAATCTTGAGAAAACATAAATAAAGAAACCAATGAAAGCTGAACTGCTCGGTCAACAAACACCTTGAGTGAATATTAAATAAATACTATTAAAGCATGACTTCAGTTCCAAAAATAACATGGCAACATATGAAGACCATAAAAATCTATTCAAATAGCCTCATTGAAAACATACCATCTTTGTTGTCTGTTTTCTGAAATTATGCATTTTTAAGAATAACTTCCAATTATCCTAGCATTCAAATTTACTTTGAGTTCAAAGCTCTGTTCTAGGCACTGTTAAAACCATATTAAACCTTTCTAAGTTAACATTTATTTATAGCCAAGCAAACACATGTAGCCACATACAATGCTGTGCTTAATGAAATGGGAACCAATTTCACAAGTTTTGCTTAAGTACATTTTAAGCTGGCAAAAATGTTGATATTAAGTAAGGAAATACAGGTATTATTTTTCTGTGGAAACTTCATTGAGTTTCCATCTCATCAGAGTTTAAGTTTCCACAACCAACCACAGAAAAGGTCAGCAGTGGGCACAAAATACAGTAAACATACATGGGACACTGAGCCATATAGCATGCTTCTGAAAACTCTAGATAGTCAACCTGCTGAGGGCCTACTGGGAATTAGAGAAAAAGTTGGAGAGACACAATCTGCCTAGATGAGCCTTTTTGAATGGAGAGCTCTACATACTCCTGAACACACACATACACACACACACACACACACACACACACGCACAAATGAATGGAAATTTGGTATGTTTTACGTATACATTTTTATAACTTCTTACCTCAAATATACAGGCTCAATCATAATGAAAACTAGTTTTATACAAGACCAAAACAATATTGAATTTGCATAAATAACACAAATAGATACCTTCATGCATCATATTATAGTTCTTCCTGGAAGTTAAAAGTTAGAATTTATGATGTTTAATTATATATTTCCCCAAAACTAGCATAGTCTGCTTTACTAGTATCTTGGGGTACCATTTTAGATAGCAGTAATTATTTCAAATTCAAATTAAGTATGGGAAGTCAAAATATGAAACTATTTCTAAAAATGGCAATTTCTAATCTACTACATTATGTTATATCTTAAAGGAATATAGTAATGCCTCAGTTCACAAATGTTTCTGTTTACAAACAATTCGGTTCTCAAACAAAAGCATTTGACAAAATTTTGCTTCCTTTCACAAACGCCACATAGGGTTATAAAGACAACCACAACCAGCTTCCTCAAAATCGTAAAACAAATTAAATTCATGAACTGAGGTATCACTGTAGTTTTAAAGTCTGAAATGACAATCTCAAAGAAATATGTCAATAGAAACACTTTGTATAAGATGGATTACATTTTATTTTTTCTTAAAGATAAAGTTTGGCATTATCTCTAAGAGTATTCTCCAATTTTCATAAGGTTTTGACTCTAAGGATATGAATTTTGACAAACATAAAGGTCATTTTACTACTATGACTAGAAAAGAAAAATATTGCAATGAAAATCCAATCCTCAAAGGTAGCTAGCAACCATCAGGCCACACAGAATTCCAAACAACTCCACTACAGATGGATACATTCTCTTTCTGAAACGTTTACTTTTAAACCTGTTTTCTGTATCAGTGGTGATTTTGCTCAACATTCAACTTTGCTCAACACTCACCTGTGATTTTTTGCAGCAAAGGTGACAATTCAGACTCCTCACAGAAGACCTGAACCAAAGCTTTCTTCACTTTTTCTTCAGCCTCTCCCAGGTCTTTGTCCACTGTGAACTCTCCAATGACAGAATAAACGTATGTGAGGAGGATCAGCAGCTCCTCAGGACCATAGTCATCATTGGTCCTCTGAGTTGATGGCTTAAACATGGGCAGCAGCTGATTTAACACAACAGACATCCCTGACTCTCCAATGCTCTGAAAAGAAAGTGATAATAGGAAAATATATCAATCTCATACAGAAACATAACTTACGCACCACATCAGTCCAATGATAGCCTGCAAACAAGCCTATGATGTCCATAGACCATACTCTTTATGGGTGTGTTTATTTGTCCTGGAGAGACTACTGCAAAAAGTTTGGCATGAGAGTTTTTGTTTTCGTTTGTGTTTTGTTTTATAAAATGGCTAGCAAAATTGCAGTCCCTTTAACATGATCTTACTACTGTTTAAACAAGAATCCTTTATATTTAAAAATAAAGATCTAAGTATTTCAGTCATTTGGAATGGTAAATAAAAGTAATACATTTGTAAAAAAGATATGATTTAAACAACAAATATAGCAGGTCTATCCTGGCAAATGAATGCTGACCCTC